TGCCCCTTGGGCTGTCAGTAACTGTCAAACCACAGAGCAGGGGCCCTCATGAGGAAATAAGATACAAAACTCTCAAAATCCCATCTGTGAGGAAGTAAAATACAAAACTCTCAAAATCCCACCTGCATTGTGCTCTAAGAAGATGAGGCCAGGGACAAACTAAGATAAAGAATTCCTGGAGCATGTGAACTCAAGGGAACATTGAATATAAATTAATATAAAATATAAATAATATAAATATATTATTTTTATAAAATAATATAAAATAATATAAATATAAAATGCCTGGAGCATGTAAACTCAAGGGAACATTGAATATAAATTAATATAAAATATAAATAATATAAATATGTTATTTATATATAATAATATAAATATAAAATGCCTGGAGCATGTAAACTCAAAGGAAGATTGAATATAAATTAATATAAAATATAATAATATAAATATATTATTTATATAAAATAATATAAATATAAAATGCCTGGAGCATGTAAACTGAAGGACACATTGAATATGTATAAGCTTCATGAATATGCATGAGCAATGCAGTGAGAGAGCAGCTGAGAGTGGTTACAGTGAAGGTGTGCTCACAGTGAAGGTTGCCAGGCACCCCAGCACTGGGCACTGTCCCTTCTATCCCCTATTAAACTTCTGCACGCTGGGGTGTTGTTTGTCCTGGGGCTGTTGTTTATCCTGGGGTGTTGTTTAATCTAGGCTGTTTGTCCTGGGGCTGTTATTTGTCCTGGGGTGTTGTTTAATCTATCTTGTTTGTCCTGTGGGTGTTGTTTATCTCCGGGTGTTATTTATCCTGGGGTGTTATTTGTCCCGGGGTGTTGTTTATCCTGGGATTGTTGTTTATCCTGCGGGTGTTGTTTGTCCTGGGGGTTGTTTATTCCAGGGTGTTTATCCTGGGGGTGTTGTTTATTCTGGGCTGTTTATCTCCGGGTGTTATTTATCCTGGGGTGTTGTTTGTCCCGGGGTGTTGTTTATCCAGGGTTGTTGTTTGTCCTGGGGGTGTTGTTTAATCTAGGTCGTTTATCCCGGGGCCGTGGTTTATCCCGGGGCCGTGGTTTATCCCGGGGATGTCGTTTATCCCGGGCCGTGGTTTATCCCGGGGCCGTGGTTTATCCCAGGCCGTTGTTTATCCTGGGTCGTTGTTTATCCCGAGGCCGTGGTTTATCCCGGGGCCGTGGTTTATCCCGGGGCTGTGGTTTATCCCGGGCCGTGGTTTATCCCGAGGCCGTGGTTTATCCCGGGGATGTCGTTTATCCCGGGGATGTTGTTTATCCCGGGCCGTTGTTTATCCTGGGCCGTCTCTCCCGGCTGTTCTCTGTCCCGCAGGCCGGAGCTGAAGGACACGGGCTGGCAGGAGCTGCCGGGGTGCCAGGCCGTGGCTGGCACAGGCTGTGACATCTCCTCGGCCATCTCCGAGTACTACGATCCCCACTACGTGCGCGTGAGGGCCCAGGCAGGGCCCCTGCTGTCCCCCTGGTCCGAGGTCCTGGAGATGGTGCCCGAATACGTCGGTACGAGCCCGGGGGGCTGGGGACACTTTGCTTCCTTCAGCACCTCAGGGTTCTGAAGGGTTCTGCTCCCCTGCCCTGCTCAGGTGGGACCACACCTGCAGAGCCTCCAGCCCTGAGATCCAGCAGCAGGAGCACCTGGAGCTGCTGGAGAGAGCCCAGAGGAGCCCCGGGGCTGGAG